TATAAAATGTGTATTTTGCTGGCACTTTTTGACCAAACTTTCAAAACAAAATGCACGCTCATGAATCATACTAACATTCCTGAGTTTGAGTCATTATATATAATGTTATAATGTTCACTGCTGGGGCATTGGACAGTCAAACAAGTCTCTCTCCTTTGACAATAAATGTAATCTCTCTCTCCCTGCCAATACTGTCACTTCTGTATTGTGTTGTGTAATAAAGTCTAATAATAAAAATAAAAAAATTGATTTGAAAAGAAACTTACAGAAAGCATGCATTTGTAAAACCAGCCAATACAAAGCAAAAACACTTTCAGAAGGGAAGACAACGACTCTTAGATCCTTCATGACACGCTCACCATTCCCTAAGAATCAAAATGAAAGAATAACATTGAATAGAAAGATGCATGGGACATTTGAAAGCAAAACGGTAAATTTTTATTATTTGCATAATGTAACCCTGCTGGGTTCTGTTTATTTTCAGCGAGGTCTTTTGTGTAAAAATGGTGTGATGCTACACACACACACACACACACACACATAATTATATATAAATAATTATATGCACACAGGTACAGACAAATATACAGTTATTTGCAGAAATTATAGATATTCACTTACGTGCTTTCAGGATCAGTTCTGCTGTCAGTGTAACAGAGTTCAACAAAACAAGACCAACTGCTCCAAACATGAACATGATTTCACTACAGAGAGACGCTATAACACACACACACACACACACACACACGCGCGCGCACACAAAACAAGCAAACAATCAAATAGTTGCTTTAATTATGCAGATCTCTTTTCTATGCAATACTGTCAAATTTGCTTTATGCCAAATAGCATAAATACAATTACAAGTAAATCATGTGAAAAAATGATTTGGATTTGTATTAGGATTTAGCAGTTAGTAATTACATGCATTTGATACTTGTTGGCTTGCCTCAGTCTGTTGTCTTCGTCTCTCGACTACTGAACGTTCTGCCTCTGTTAAAACACAAACTACACAGACTACATTTGTATGGTACAGTTAGCTTTAGTTTTGTAAATTGGTTGTGTACTCCTACTTCAATGAACACAAATGTGCTTTTATGACAGATTGTTTATGTGGTATATCTATGTATTAATTAACCAATAATATAACTATTTATGCATTATAATTACAAACAGCATAGTGTTAGTGCTTAATTTTTTTATTTGCATATGTAAGACATACCAAATACTTTCTACTTCTTAGCACCATATTTGTATGCTTTTTTATAATTACAGTATGGGGTAATAAAGGACATAGCAAACATTTAAGTCAGTGATGGATAATACCTTGCACATTTTCTTTAAAGACCACTATCATCTTCAGAACTTCTATAAATAAAATGACACAGGTCCATCCCAAGTACTCTGTTAATTAAAATCAAGAAATTTTGATCAGCTCAACATGTCTTACAAAAACAAAAAAATGTTATGTGGACTCTAAAGATATGTCAAATTATTAGCTATTATGTGGGATACCACTATATCACTAAGTAGAAAAATGTCCTGTTGGATCTAGAAAATATACATTAATCGTTGTCCCAGGCCAAGATATATAATAATAATAACAACAACAACAATTAGTCCTTACATCAGGGGGCTGTTTCATAAAACAAGTTTACCAAATAAGCCAGGCTTATTTCAGTTAGTCTGACTTATTTTGAACCAAATCAACTGACAAGAAGTCAGACTAACTGAAATAAACCTAGCTTATTTGGTAAACTTGTTTTATGAAACAGCCCCGAGCTGTCCCACACCAAATCTATTTAAAAAAGCTTTTTCTTTACAACTTTATATATATACACAACAATAAAGAATGTTTTTATATGAAAAATTACTAAAAGTAAAGGCAACATATACCTCTCTCTCTTGCCAATATGGCTAGAAGAAAATAAATCAATAGGATGATATCCAGGAGTGTTATTGTTATTATCCATAATAATGTTATCCATCTATGGCGGAGAACTGTGAATGTAAAGATGGTCATCAGCATTCATTAAAATTTCACATGCCACATACTAAAACTGATCTCAGGTCTGATACAAATCAATTTAGAGTCGGCATGAAATCAAAATTTCTAATTAATGTTCTTAAAGGGATAGTTCACCCAAAAATGAAAATTACCCCATGATGCTCTTCCAATCTTTATAATGGCACTGGGTAGTGGTCCAGATTTTGAAGCAAAATAAAGTGCGTCCATCCACTGGGGTGTGAATAAAGGCCTCTCGATGCATTTGGGTAATAAAAATATGCATATTTTTCCGCTAACAGTCTTACGCGCTAACAGTCTTATCGGATTTTCGATATGAGCCAAGAGAGATGGGTTTTCCTTTGCTGTAAACAAAACTTGGTTTTCGAGAAACTAGCATATTCTCACCGGAGCTTACGGTACGCCTACGTCCTATGTCATCTGCTGGAACGCCACTCTCTCGTGTACTCGCGTATGCCAGTTATTAGAGGAGATTACGAGATTATGGTTTATGATGGATCGACGCACTTTATTGGGCTTCAAAATCTGTACCACCATTCACTGCCATTATAAATCTCGGAAGAGCCAGTACATTTCTTTATATAACTCTGATTGTATTTGTCTGAAAGAAGAAAGTCAAAAACACTTAGGATGGCTTGAGGGTGAGTAAATCAAGGGGTAATTTTCATATTTGGGTGAGCTTTCCCTTTAAGGCGTGTTTTTGGTCTTATTGTGCTCAATTTATTCTTGTGTTTCTTTGTGGAATTTTTTTTTATATTATTATTCTGGTAAACACTGCTCACTTTTCAGAATACAATCAACAACCAGTGGATAAAATAAAGTCACATCCAGTTTTTCTTTTTCTTAGTAGTTTCAATCAAATACATCAGAGTTTGGTTGTAAATTGGACAGCAACTTCTGTTTCATATCGACTTAAGTAAACATTATACAGGTTGTATTTCTATTCATAAAATCCTCACAAATGTATGCATACAGGAACATTATGTGATTTACTCTTTCCACACCTATACAAATACAAGAATACGAATTTAGCATGTGCTTACATTTGAATTCTGCTTGCAGACGAGGTAAAAGTGGTATAAAGATAAGCAGTAGTGGCTGAACAACTCCCACAACAAAAATTTCTAAAATAAGAGAATAACAGTCCATTATTTCCCATTCAAACAAATCAACAGTCAATAATGTGTCATTAAAACTCATCATATGAATTGCTCAGAAGTTCTTAAACATAAATGTTCAATCACTGAAAAGAGAGTCTAGAAGTGGTTTTCTTGTGGAATACTTAATGACTTAAGTACATTTATGTAAAAATATCATTCTACAAGTTCTACATCAAGGTGTGACACTGGCTGAACTGTATTTTATTTTTATTTTTAACACAGAATAAAAACCTATGTATGTGGCATTTTTACCACTTTTTGCATGTCAGTTTCATAAATTATGAAGGGATCAGAATTCAGGTGTTACCTTCAGAGGGAATAAATAAGATGATGAACTGGAACAGTTGACAATCAGACAGGATAGAAATAATTAGACAAAATATAAAGAGCTTGTATCTGCAACCTAACCAAAAAGGAGAGAGAAGAAAGGCAAGCATTAATGGTATGTATACAAATACAGTCAATCACAGTGGGGGATGACTGTGGTCTGCTGATTACACAAGATAAATGTCTCAGTTTTGGCTTAGTCACATGATGTTACATGATGACATGATATTCCTGTAGTTGGTCTAAGTAGTAACAGACTGTGGTAACAGTCAAGAAATATATTTCAGATTTATTTTCCCCTTTTGTTTTCATGTGCTTTATCAACTCATTAACACGTAGTTTATATTAAACTACATTTTTCTAGAATTAATAGTACTTTGCAAAAAATTGTGTTCACTTAGAGTTTGGTTGCATTGGGAAGCCCTGCTTGGCCGTTCTTGACTGGGACGCCTTGAGACATCAACTAAAAAACAAACATACCAAACACAGTTAGGCCTAAAAAGAAACTGTTTGCATCTTCTCTATGTATTTGGTTATCATTTTTGGTAATTGTAGAATTTAAAAATGTATTTGAACAAAATCATTGGTAATAAACTTATCAACCTAATAAATATGTGCTCATATATACTTATTCTACCATTTAGCTTTAACAATGTATAAGGAATCAGATCATACAAGGACTCTTACCTATACTCAAGATGAGACAACTCAGCACAACAATTCCAAATAATACTGCAGAAAATATGCGAGGTTTGGTGTCTGTATCATGTGCTCTCTTTCTCCAGTCATAGGTAAAAAGAACTATAGAAATAGATCAAAATAAATAAATAAATAAATGTCACACAAGATAGATGATGTCCTGAGCAAGAACAGCATAAAGATGTGATGAACTGAACAGTGTGTGTTAAACAATGTTTTACTGAATTCAATCTCACACAAATGCATTCCCAAACATAAGGCATCCGAACTAACATGACAGTGTTTGTTATTGTGTTTCATCTGTGCACTGAGGCACAAGTCATTTACTGTGAAAGGAAAAAAGAGCCACAAGCTTCTCCGGTTGCAGCAACCTTAATTACTGATATCTTGTGCCAGTTTCCCAAGAAGTGATGATTTTTTTCTTCAACACATGGGATGGAAATGGTGCTTTATTTGCAAATGTTTTATGCAATATTCTAATTTTGTGCACAAGTTTTGAAGGAAATATAGCTACTGCTAATGTCAAAATAATGAAGATGGCATCTGTTATGTGAAATTTGAATTTTCCTACCTGAATAAACAACGACCGTAAAAACAGCAAATTCTCTTGTTATTCTGAAAAACCTGATCCATGATTTAAAGTTGCCTGTAGACAGAAAGAGTTGAAAACATCAAATTAATATTTTGTAAAGCACTAATGCACTGCCATGGAACTGTATTATTAGTTAGTTATTTCCTGATTGACTAAATTATGTAATATCTCTGTCAATGGAGAACAGCATTTTTTTACTTGCAAAGTGAAACACCGAAGCATGGCTGTGCATCACCCTGCAGAATCCAAATACCTCAGATACTGTATAACTAGGTTCCCTTTCAGTCGGTCACTCTCGACGTCACGTCAGTGACCGACGAATTGGGATTTTGCTTAAAGAGACCAATCCACTTCGAGTGTAAACTAAACGGGTCAATCCACATTGGCATGCGATGATTGCATCCAGCTGCCGCTGATCACAGCGTGAGCATTAAAAGGCAGCCGGTGCAATGCACACCAGCTTTTCGCTTCGGAGCCGAGCGATAACATTGTTCTGCCCCTACCAATATCCTTGTTTGTGATGACGAGTTCAACGCGCTCTAGGGAGCTTTTTGTGTTGGCGGACGGCGCTTCAGCGGTGGTCGTTCCTGTGTCGAGTGGGTTGCGCACTTCAGGCTGCACTACCCCCTCTCATGCTGCAAGCGGCCATTTCCCCTGTGCGTCTCAGCACCTAAAAGAGCATTTGCCTGAAAGAGCCTATTTCTTTAAAAGAGCTTACATGGGTGCGTCTTTGTAAAGACGACGGATCGTCTTTTTAAAGATGCCGTTTCACTCGTGCGTTTCTGGATGCGGTCGTTACCTGGTGCCAGGTGATGGTCACGATCGCTGCCTTACGTGTCTGAGCATTAAACACGCTGAGGTGGCATTCGTGGATGAGTCATGTTCCCATTGCGGGAAGATAACCATCTCGGAGCTGCGGGCCAGGCTCCGTTTCCTCCAGGGGGTGGAACTCCATTGCTTCTGCCGCGATCTAGTGTTCGTTCTGGTGGCAGCCAGGCGAGGGCTGCTTCGGGCAGTAGCACGGGCATTCTGAGGGTTACAGTGGTGGCAAACCCTTCAGGGAACCAACCCTTGGGGGACCATCACTCCTCTAATTCTACGCAACCAGTCGAGTCACCAGAGGAATGTGCTGGGCCCTCTTCAAAGAGTGTACCATGGGTATCCTTCGGTGCTTCTCCCGACGACCGGATGTCGATCACTGCATCGGAGGGAGAGCTCTCTGGAGAGGAAGATTCGGCTGCGCTGCCACCCTCTGGGATGGTGGCAACGCCTGAATCGGATCCGGAGATGACAGCTATGCTTTCCCGGGCCGCTGAGAGGGTAGGGCTCGAGTGGAAACCTCCACCGCGTCCCGAGCCCTTGAGGTTGGACGATGGGTTTCTCGAGGTTGCTCACGGTGGTTCTCAGCGCCCCGCCCCGGTGCCTTTCTTCCCGGAGGTGCATGAGGAGCTCACCAGGTCATCATCTCTGGCTGTGTCTGGCCGACATGAGGGACGCCGACAAAATACGGTTCCTCAATGCCCCTGTGTCCCAGACCGGCCTCTTCGGCGACGCGATCAAGAGCTTTGCCCAGCAGTTCTCAGCAGCACAGAAGCAGACTGAGGCGATTCTTCACATCCTACCCCGGCGGGCAGCTGCTGCCTCCACCCGTCCGCCGGTCGCAATGCCCCAGCCTGCTTGTCGCCGAGGGCGGCCCCCTGCGTCAACCCCAGCTCTTGTGTCACATTCTCAGCAGCCTCGAGCAAGTGGCACCGTGGAGCTGGGCATAGGCAGGCCGCCCCGACCATCCAGGCCCCCGTCAAACCTGGCAGTGAGCGGAAGAGCAAGAGGCCCCGGGACGGGCGACCCAGAGAGAGAGGGAACTGCTCTTTGGGGGATGGTGAATGTACCTCTCCCTCCACCGGAGGAGGGCCAGGTGGAGAATCTGGTTTCCAAAAATCTCGACGAGAGAGCGGCTTTCTCTGTCTCTGGATCCCAAGAGGGCACGGAGAGTCGCGGACGGACCAACACTGGACCATACTCATCTTCCTCTCTCACCAGCAGGCAGCACTAGGCGGTTTGAGAGCATCATCAAAGGCCCTACTTAAGTACCCTCTGCCAAACCGTGGAACCAGGTAAGCATTGCACTGCACACTCAGACCCCTCTTCGGTCCGCCCACGAGCCGCCCGAGTTGGGTCCCTGCATTCCACCTCGCTGCCCCACTGCGGGTACGGTGGTGGTTCCACTGGTCCCACTTGCACGGTATCTGGGTGCCTGGCTAGCGCTACCCAGCCCATCTCACTGGCTTCTGCGGACCATCAGCCTCGGCTATGCGATTCAGTTTGCCCGGCGTCCCCCCAAGTTCAGTAGCATCTGCTTCACAGCAGTGAAGGCGGCCAATGCTCCTGTCTTGTGTGTGGAGATCGCAGTCCTACTGGCAAAGGACGCGATAGAGCCAATCCCTCCAGCCAATATGAAGACGGGGTTTTACAGCCCCTACTTCATTGTAGCCAAGAAAGGCGATGGGTCACGACCAATCTTGGATCTGCATGTCTTGAACCGGGCCCTTCACCGGTTACCCTTCAAGATTTTGACGCAGAAGCACATCTTCGGCATCCGACATGCATCTGGCACCGAGATTGGTTTGCAGCGATCGACCTGAAGGATGCATACTTTCATGTGTCGATCCTGCCGCGCCACAGACCATTTCTGCGGTTCACGTTTGAAGGACGTGCATATAAGTACAAGGTCCTGCCCTTCGGGCTGTCCCTGTCTCCCCATGTCTTCAAGAAACTTGCGGATTGGGCTCTTGTTCCCCTCAGAGAGCAGGGTGTTCACATCCTCAACTATCTAGATGATTTGGCCTCCTCCTTTGGAGTCGGAAGGTTCTGAGGTCACTTCGTGCCATTCACATTCCGGGTCTGCTCAACTATAAGGCCGACGAGCTGTCATGAGCTTCGCTCCCAGGAGAATGGAGACTCCACCCCCAGATGGTCCAGCTGATTTGGAGATGTTTTGGAGCCACTCAGGTAGACCTGTTTGCCTCTCTAGAAACCTCTCACTGTCAGTTGTTCTACTCCCTGACCGAGGGAACACTCGGCACGGACGCACTGGCACACAGTTGGCCGCGGGGCCTGCGCAAGTATGCGTTTCCCCCAGTGAGCCTTCTTGCACACTGTGCAAGATCAGTGAGGACGAGGAGCAGGTCCTGCTCGTGGCGGCTTATTGGCCCAATCGGACCTGGTTCCCGGAAGTAATGCTCCTTGTGACAGCCCCTCCCTGGCAGATTCTTCTGAGGAAGGATCTACTGACTCAGAGACGGGGCACCCTGTGGCACCCACGTCCAGACCTCTGGAAATTTCATGTCTGGTCCCTGGAATGGCGTAGGTTCTAGGTGACCTACCCCAGCAGGTAGTTGACACCATCACTTCGGCGAGAGCACTGTCTACGAGACACGCTTACGCCTTGAAGTGGAACCTGTTCGTCGAGTGGTGTTCTTCTCGTGTCCCAGACCGGCCTCTTCGGCGACGCGATCAAGAGCTTTGCCCAGCAGTTCTCAGCAGCACAGAAGCAGACTGAGGCGATTCTTCACATCCTACCCCGGCGGGCAGCTGCTGCCTCCACCCGTCCGCCGGTCGCAATGCCCCAGCCTGCTTGTCGCCGAGGGCGGCCCCCTGCGTCAACCCCAGCTCTTGTGTCACATTCTCAGCAGCCTCGAGCAAGTGGCACCGTGGAGCTGGGCATAGGCAGGCCGCCCCGACCATCCAGGCCCCCGTCAAACCTGGCAGTGAGCGGAAGAGCAAGAGGCCCCGGGACGGGCGACCCAGAGAGAGAGGGAACTGCTCTTTGGGGGATGGTGAATGTACCTCTCCCTCCACCGGAGGAGGGCCAGGTGGAGAATCTGGTTTCCAAAAATCTCGACGAGAGAGCGGCTTTCTCTGTCTCTGGATCCCAAGAGGGCACGGAGAGTCGCGGACGGACCAACACTGGACCATACTCATCTTCCTCTCTCACCAGCAGGCAGCACTAGGCGGTTTGAGAGCATCATCAAAGGCCCTACTTAAGTACCCTCTGCCAAACCGTGGAACCAGGTAAGCATTGCACTGCACACTCAGACCCCTCTTCGGTCCGCCCACGAGCCGCCCGAGTTGGGTCCCTGCATTCCACCTCGCTGCCCCACTGCGGGTACGGTGGTGGTTCCACTGGTCCCACTTGCACGGTATCTGGGTGCCTGGCTAGCGCTACCCAGCCCATCTCACTGGCTTCTGCGGACCATCAGCCTCGGCTATGCGATTCAGTTTGCCCGGCGTCCCCCCAAGGTCAGTAGCATCTGCTTCACAGCAGTGAAGGCGGCCAATGCTCCTGTCTTGTGTGTGGAGATCGCAGTCCTACTGGCAAAGGACGCGATAGAGCCAATCCCTCCAGCCAATATGAAGACGTAGCCAAGAAAGGCGAGGGGTCACGACCAAGCTTGGATCTGCATGTCTTGAACCGGGCCCTTCACCGGTTACCCTTCAAGATTTTGACGCAGAAGCACATCTTCGGCATCCGACATGCATCTGGCACCGAGATTGGTTTGCAGCGATCGACCTGAAGGATGCATACTTTCATGTGTCGATCCTGCCGCGCCACAGACCATTTCTGCGGTTCACGTTTGAAGGACGTGCATATAAGTACAAGGTCCTGCCCTTCGGGCTGTCCCTGTCTCCCCATGTCTTCAAGAAACTTGCGGATTGGGCTCTTGTTCCCCTCAGAGAGCAGGGTGTTCACATCCTCAACTATCTAGATGATTTGGCCTCCTCCTTTGGAGTCGGAAGGTTCTGAGGTCACTTCGTGCCATTCACATTCCGGGTCTGCTCAACTATAAGGCCGACGAGCTGTCATGAGCTTCGCTCCCAGGAGAATGGAGACTCCACCCCCAGATGGTCCAGCTGATTTGGAGATGTTTTGGAGCCACTCAGGTAGACCTGTTTGCCTCTCTAGAAACCTCTCACTGTCAGTTGTTCTACTCCCTGACCGAGGGAACACTCGGCACGGACGCACTGGCACACAGTTGGCCGCGGGGCCTGCGCAA